AAAAATCAAAGTCGCAGACCAACAAAATATTTCTTTAAGACATCTAAGAGATATGTAAAAGTCACTGAAGACACATGCCCACACATATAAATACAGCTACACATACTAAACATAGTGAACATGAAATGTCAAGATTTTGCTAGGGTGCTTTTGGTTGCTGCCAGCCAGTGTTGGTAGCAGAAAGCAAAAAGAAAAAATTAAGATGAATGCAGTTGAGGTTAAGGTTGAAGTGTAGGTAAGATATAAGGTAAGTTAAGGTTTAGTATGCTTTATGTTGTGGGTATTTTGGGGATCAAAAGTGACGTGTGATTGTTTTGTGGGTAATTTTGATAAATTAATTTTTAAGCTGCAAATATTTTTCTAAGCTAAAATGTTTGTAAGAAAGGTTAAAAGGGTTTTCCTTGGTATGTGTTGTTACTGGTTATTAAAGATTTACTTGTACTAAACAAAAATCTTCTTAAATAATGTAAGAAAATGTATATAACTTGAGGCAAAAATAAATTTAAATCTAATTTCCTAATTGTTAGCATATTACACACAATCCCAAAAGAATAACTTAACATAAATATCTATGAAATTTAGTTCAAAGCTAAAGTTAAGCTAAAATTTAATAAATAATTTATCTTATTTGGTTAATGCTTTTATGTGTGTAATAACTTTAAAGTTGGCACATGGGAATAACTCAATGCAATTACTCAATGTGCCTTCTACATGGATTTACATTTAATAAACTTTATGAAACAATAATATACTGAATCCGTAATTAATTTGATTTCAGCAAATAACTATTACACATGAAATCTACAAGGTACGTATGTATAAGTTGTTGACGAGTTTATGCATAATACGCACAAATAATAATTATACAAATACATAAACTTTATAATGCCTAGCATTATTTCTACTTAAAGTAAATTAAATCAGACCTTGTCAGACGGAAAGACAAACAGTCACATGGCATAATAAGACGACGAAAGACAGACAGCAGTACCATACATTAAGGACATTGTCAAGCAGTGAATGCAGTGAAGGAACACCTTAATTATTGCAGGTGTTACTTACGTATCAAAGACAAATACATTTAAGCATATATGTGCAGTATACAAGCAGTTATTTTCCACACAAGTTTGCTTAAAAAGTACTTTTGACCCGCCTACAAACATGTGTTAGTCCACAGGATTGTGTACTCAAAGGCGGTCTGTGTTTGTAGGTCTCTCGTACCATAAATCGCGTTACTGTTGTGTAATTTGTGTAATCGACATAAGTGGTACTTGCTTGGCATATAAATTTTATATAAAGTGTGAAAATATATGTATAAAGCAAAACGCATTTGATTTAAAGATTATTTATGTCCAATGGGGGCTATAAGATAAATTTGTTTATATTGGAAAATAAAAATGATATAAAAAAACGCGGTCACATTCATATCTAAAAAACAATAACTTCAAACAATAACAAGTAGATAAAAAAGGAGACTAACAAATATAATTGTTTGTTTTTAAAACAAACAGAGTTTACTAATGAATCTATTATAACTAAATGCATATTTAACTATTTTCTAAAACCTGTAAAAATATCTCAGGTAAAGATGAAAATATTTAAGAAAAAAAAAAAGGTTGTTTAAGAAGTCAGTACTCTTACTTTACTTCCATCTTTATTAGGACAATAACTTGAAGAAATATTTCTTAAGTTCTATATATATATATATATATAACAAGCGCATAAATATAATATTTAAATATTGTAGGTAGGGTAAATAACTATTTTGCAAACCTGAAGTCGTACTCAATAGATGTAGTAAGTTTTATTGGCACGAGAGACCTTATAGCACGTACTGGTAGTCTGCTAGGTGCTGATAAATAAATGTAAGAAATATGTAGTAAGTCAACATAGCTAGTCTATTATGTAGGATTAAAACTGTAATATATCCAGGAAATGGAAATACTTCATAAATAATATATATTTACGTCGGAGAGTTAAATTCTCCAACAAAATATTAATAATAACCCAAGCCTGTTTTAATTTAAGCGCAGTTAGACATTGAATTCTCAAAATAACGTATAAACTATTTAGCAAGCTATAGTCAGTTGGAGAATACGTAAGCCTTATATATAGTCCACTCATATATAGTTCAAATATTGCAGCATTTAGCGTAAGGACTAAGTTTAAATCTTTAAAGTTATGATAAAATTATTTCAATCATGTTGAATGAAAATTTAATGAGTTTCATAGAAATCCTTTATACAGCTCATATTTCTTAAATTGATCTATGACATATTTAAACAACCCTGGTGCACTTTGGATTACAACACTTCAACTAGAGATACTAATTTACTTATTAATTTGAAATATAACACAATTCTTCTATGTAAATGTATTTATCTTATGTTTGTATACATTAATGTTTTCGATAATCACAGGTGATGGTTTTCTGTAACTTAAGAGCTTATATTCCTTTAATATTAATGGAAAATTTAATTGTTAATTTCTTAATGTTATGGCACAAATGATGAAATGAATTATTTATCAGATATTATCCTAAAGTTAGTGTATATAAACAGTTTAAGTATAGGTGTTAAGTACCTCAATTAAGAAAAATTGTAAGTTTCTTTAAATTAAAAATAAATTAAGGGTGAACATTTGTAATTGTATAAAAACTGATAAAAAAAATTATATTTTTTTAAAAAAAAAGTTTCATTTAACAAATGTATAATATTTATTATAGCACAACCATAAAATAAATGAAATACTAAAATCATTTTGCAATAAGTTTACTTCACGACTGAAAAACAATTAAACCGTTATAATCACTAAAGATACCTAAACATATTTTAGACTATTTCAAATATTAGAATATGTTATATTTGTAACTATTTGTTTATACTTTTATTAAAATTCTTTTATATTTTGTTTATATATTAAATAATATGTTCAATTAATTTATTTCACAAATATTCTTTATATAGTATTTCTTCTAATATTGGCAAAAAGTGCTAGTATAAAACACATAGATGCAATAAAATAGAGTTAAAGCTTAAATTTATGAAATGATTTAGTCGTCATATTATATGGTAGTATTACATTATTTGAAATTTGTTAAAGCCTAAGCCCGTATAATTTGATTTAGAACAGGTGATCGAGTTCTATGGGGAAGCCAAAATCAAAGTGACGAATAGGACGTCAGATATTTCCATTTTTTTTATGGCATGGGTGTTACAGAATAACAATTTTTTTTTAACATGAAAATTTGAGCTGTTTGTACTTACAAAAAGTCTCTGACTCTAATCCTATATAAAAACAAATACATATATTCTACACGTATTAGATTGAAAGCACTAATAAAATAATATTTTTTTAAATTTACAACAATATGACAAAAACAGTTGTTTAAAACTAATTTTACTAAATAACAGACATATACCTATATATGTAAAAATTTTAATAATATCTACCATTTCAAATCTATTTAAAAAAAAAAAAGGAAAAAAGATTTTACTCAAATTGTATGCGTTTGTATCAATATGAACTGACAAATAATACACAACGACATGCCTGTCATATGTTAGCATATGTGACAGCAACAATACCTCGAGAAGCAATAATAACAAAAGCACGAACAAAAAAAAATATATATGAGCAACAGCAACAAGGAAAAATTAAATAAATGTGGCAACACACTTAGGGATTTTCTAGGATATTACAACACAATCACAATTGTCATTTCTGTTTTTTTTTTGTTTTTTTCCTTGTAGTTGCTGCTGCTGCCAGTGTTGTCATATCCAAAGAAACAAAATTGCTACTAGGATTAGTAGATAATGCATAGAGTAAGTCAAAAGTGTACACACACATACGCATACACACACACATATCGTTACAAGGAAAGTGTTCTGCAAAAAAGAGGTAATCAGTGAAATGTAACCTATTGTTAAATTGTTATTTTTGCTGTCAATGTGTTCTTCTTGTTGTTCTTCTTCTTTTTGTTGTTGTTACCTTTGCTACACATCACTGTATGGTAGATGTGTGTAATTTTATGTATGGCATTGTTGTCAGTTATATTTACTTTACTTTTACATTAGATCCTTTGTGCTACATTTAACCTTATCCTTTTTTTGGCAAGCAACACAGGTGACTGAAAGACAAAATCAAAAAGGTGACAACCCTGGCTTAACCAAGCCTTCACAATACAATATGGTTGCGTGTGCTGTTAGGTGTTTTGTTCCACTCTTGTGCTTTACACAAGCATTATTTAGGTATATTCTTATCTAAATATATCCATTTTTGGTAGCTTAGAAATCTGTTGACTTTTTAGGGTTTAAATTGAAAGTACAAAAGTATTTGTAAAATTCAAATGTGTGTGATTAAAAGGGATTTCGAGCCTACAAATTGTAATTAATTAAAAAGTAGTTTTTGGGCGGAAATTGAAGTTTGTGGGTAATATTAGGTTTAATATTGTAATAGTTACTGTGGGTTTTAAAATTTAAAAGTGACACTTAAATAAAATCTATTAAAAAATTAATCTTTAATAACATGAAATAAAATTAAATATAGTAAAATGGAAATGAAAATGAATTTTTCTAAAAAAATAATATCGCTAAAGGGTAAATATAATGTTTTAAGGGCCTATGGCAGTAAAGAAGGCCAAGTCTATGACAAAATTCATGGGTTAACTATAAATACAGTTGATTCCTTCATTAATTTAGATAGATATATAATATACAGACACCTAAGCTTCTAGTTCAAGCGGTAAATACATATGTATATAGTCAAAAAAATTAAAATAAAATATATTACATTATATATAAATATATCACATTAAATCTATATTAATAGGTAAACTATAAATGCACTTGATTTTTTCATTAATATAGATAGATATATATTGTACAGCGACATACGCTTCTATTTTAACCGGTAAATAAATAAAATTTATATACTACATTTTATCTATTTTAACTCATATAATAAAATAATATTATACTTAATAAAAAAAATTTACTCACTCCATGATTTTGATCGGTTTTCAATTCACGATGATTTGAAAATTGTACATAAACCATGCGTCCTCGCATTTGTGGTGGATTAAGTGCATAGGAGGTAACCATAGTTGTGGCAGAGGTTTCATCGGCCATTTCTAAGAATGCTTGATTTTTACCTTTAAGAACAAGAACATTTGTAACTCGTCCAAATGGTATGCCTAATGAAATGACATCAGGTTCACTGGATTCACTTGGAATGTTACGCAAATGTATAACCTTAGATGGTTTGCCTGCAATAAAAAAAAAATAATAAAATTAATTTATAATATATATGGATGGAAAAAAAACACAATTGAGATAGATTCTTTATTACTATTTTTATCCGTGGTTAAGAACTTTTTTCAAACAAAACAAATATTTTTTTCTCGTCATAACAATCGAGTCTTCCCGTCATAACAATGAAGAATTGCTCCCAGAGACTTTTTATCCAGTAGGAGAGATTATCAAATGCCACCGTATGAGATTTTAACCGATTAACTAACTATTCTATTGTTTTAGGAATTGTATATCTTTAGATTATTCGTTGAGGCATGGAAACCACTAATGTCATCTTACCGCTGATCAGTTACCACGGAGTCATCACATAGGCATGTAGACTTATAGTGTGGTCTTATGCCTACAAATAAGAGCAGCTTAATCATATAAGAATGCAAATCCTTAGAGTGATGGTATAGCCGCACAGTAGGGTTAGCAGCGGTCTTAGATGGGTTTTAAGTTTCCATGTGAAATAAGAAAGAAACATCACACCGACTAAAAATTCACAATAAAATTGGTGTATTGTCCATTTAAATATTATTTGTGAAATCCCTATTGCGATTTTGCCGTCGACAAGTTATATCAAATTAATTGTATAGGCATGGAAACCCCTAGTTAGGTCTTGCAGTAGAAGTGTAGCAGAGATCTTTGAAATGTTTTAATATTATATGTGATATGAAATCTAGAGATGGAAAAGGGGTAGTAGTATTCATATCTCGGTCATCTTGTAATCAATCGTAATGACATAGAAACATTTAGTGTGGTCTGGTCACCAACCAGTAAGACTAGATTAATCGTATAGGCATGGAAATCACAAGTGTGATTTTGTCGCAGAATTGTAGGGATAATCGTAGAGGTCTTCGGGGAGTTGCCCTTATAACGCCGTGTAAAATAAAATCTTATATGTCACAAATATTTATTATCATACAATAAGAAATTATTACCGAGGAAACTAGATAACTCAGAGCATTTTATTTAATATTTATTTCAAAATTAAAAACAAATGATGTAAAAATTTAAATATATTTCACTTTTCGCTGTAGAACAAAAATATTTAATGTTTTCAAATTTAATTACTAGAATTAAATTTATTGGTGTAGTTCTAAAAGCTATGTGTAATGAAGAACATATTTCAAAAAAAAAATTTCAAGACAACTACTTAAAAAAATGATGGGATGAATAGAGGTATAGTTATTTATTCTGTACCGACATGTATGCACAACAAAAAACACAACACAAAAATCAGGCTTAAAGCTAATATTCCTAGAAACTTGTATAGTGTAAGCATGTACGTATATACGCAGACTCTATATATATATACATATATATGTATATAACATATTGCGAACATATTTAAGATGCAACTGCATACCTTAAAAGCAAAAATCCTTGATCGTCACACACTGAAAGAGGCTTAAAATACTACAAGTTTAGCTGGAACTTCCGTTCCACAATTTTTAAATCCCCATTTTGCTTTACGAGCAGTTTTATTTATGTAAAATTGAAAACAAAAACAACACTGTACATCGGTACATATAGTAGAGTGGTGAATATAAAAAATTAAAAGTACTGCTGTACAATTTTACAGTAACGTAACATATCAAGCGGGTAATACCAGCGCGCTGGATTATGTCGAAAGTGTACGTACAAAGGACACTACGACAAAAAAATCTGTACTGAAAGCATGCAATGGGTGCAAGATACGCACATTTCAGCTAGTATGCGGGTACGCTGAGTACATCCGCAGCGGCGGAGACCTACAAGGACGCTTTATGTTAAAGTGTTGTAGTTTAACTATAAAAAAATATATGTGTAGACTTATATATAATATAAAGGATATACAAATAAGCAGCTTTATGTGTGTTCGTACGCAGCACCTGTTCATTTTGAAAATACACACAACGAGAGAGGTGGTTGAGTAAGCGCTAAGCAAATTAAATTTTAATCACTTTAAAATATATAAACATTAAATGAAAACAATTTTAAAATAATTTACTATAGTTTATTTACTATGTAAACACTTTAAATACTTTTTATGTTATTTAAAATTACGAAAACAAGGAAAAAATCGCATTTTGTGTTGCACCGCATAACGCTGAAGTAATGTCCTTGTTGCTTTATTGTTATTGTTTCTCTTACGAAATGCGTTAAAGCGCGGTTTTAGCCACCGAAAATGCTTTTCACATACACCAAAGTACACGTATGGGAAACGGAAATGTTGCATACGTAACGGTTCACATTGTTTAAAGGAAGCTTTAGAGTACATTTTTATATTTACAATATTTTTTTGTCATACATTTTTACTGCATCCACCTATCCATCCAGCTTTCATCATTTGTTGTCACAGTAGTAAAAAAACATTAATTTTTAATCGCATTTCATGCAAAAATAAATAAAATTCTCTTTGGATATGTGGGTTAGTTGATAGGAGAACGACGAAGAGGAGGAGGAAGACGGAGACACGGCTTCAGTATTCTGTGTACGTTGGATATAGCGGTTTTAAAACTGTTGGTGTTGAAGCTAATAAAAGTTACACACTGATTTCATATAAATAACAGTTGGCTATTTTCTTCCTTTAAAAGCATCCCCCCTCTATCTCTTTTGTTAATTAATTAAATTTTTGCTTGGACGTAGCAATAAAAGTGCACCAACATGAGAAAGCTTTTGAATGCATGATATGAGCAAATAAAATTAAATTAAAATTTATAGAGAAAAAGGATTCAACAAATCACTAAACAAATAATTAATTAGTGAAAATTAAAACGTTAAAAAAAACTTTAAGAACTAAGATAATTAAGAAACAAGATGTTATATATCAGTTGTGTACAATTTTAAAAATCAAGAAAATGATAAAATCGATTCAACGTCATTTATGATGAAAGTGACTATTTTACTTAATACAAATTATTAAAAAATTATTTACTTAATATTAAATTATTAAGAAACTAATAAGCTATTGATTAAATAGAAAAGGTTCTAAAGTGAAAAATATAAAAATGTGGCATTAAAAAAAAGTAATTATACTCGAAACATCGTTATGTGGTCAGCCAATTTTCAATAAATTAAATAAATTTTTGTCCTTGTCTTTTCTTTGATATTCGAGTCCGTCTAATTTTTAAATAGTTTCCTTTCGTCATAAAGACGCATCACTCATGGCAAGAAAAAATTAACATTAAAAATAATTATAATTAATTCAATAATTTTACAGCTGGTTCATGATTTCGTTCCTTTAGGACACAGCAAATGAATTTGTTAATGAACTTTATAGTGAATTAAAAAAAAAAGACAAAAAACTTCGAGTTCGAACACAAAAATCAAGTAAGGCTTGGAGTCATTGGCTAATGAACACTATTTCTGAGCTTCAAATTTAGCATGGCACGAGTTCAAATCTTAGTACTTGCAGTTTCAAAAATTTATTTACGAATAATTAAATATAACAAATAATTTCAGTCAAAAATTCAAATAATTAAAATAATAAAATTTTATGTTGCAATTCACTTCTGCTCATAAAACCTCGTCAATAAATATTTTAATATTTATTTTTTTTAATAAAAAGCGATGTGGAGGTGACGGGTCTAACGTATGCCACCAGGTATATGTTGGTACAACAAAAAATAAACTCAGGACGAGAATCGCTGGCCACAGACACGACATAAAGAGCAGAACAACTCCCGTTGACCAAAAGACAGCATTAGCAACCCATTGCTCTATGATGAACCATACTCCAAATTTTGAAGAAGTACAGATCATCAACAAAGACCCTAATTACAGACGTAGGTTAATGCTTGAAATGTTACATATTATTGAAGTTCCAGACAATCAGAGACTAAACTACAAAAAAGACACAGAGGGTCTTGCACAAATTTACAGGTCTCTGATTAACCATAATTAAAAAAATGTAATATAAATTTATAGTTTTATATAAAAAGTTTAATTTATCTTCCATTGTTACCAATTAAAAAATATTTTCGTATATTTATTTTTGATTTTAATTTTAAATTTTATTGTTTTTTTTTTTTTAAATTACGTTTTGCTTTTGTTCAAATAAATTTAAATGTTAAAAATGTCAAACATTGAAAGAGACAACAATGTTTGTCATTTTTGGTTTTTTGTTTTGATTGTATGTTTATATGTTTATTTACATATAATTAAATATGTAATCTTTTATATACACTGAAGATGGTCTACGATGTAGACCGAAATATTTGTATTAATATAATTTTTGTATAAAAATTAAATAAATTTAAACATTTAACACAGTTGGAAAAAAGTGTAAAAATTTTTTAATTGTTTTAAAAAAACATTTTTATAAACCTATGTGTTAAATAAACGACCTAAGCCCGGTATATATATAAAAAACTAATTTATTTTTTTTTTAATAAAATATCAATAAACAACAAATATTAAAAAATTTGAAAACAATTGTTTACGTATAATTAAATATAAAAAATTATTCCAAAAAGAACACTGATGACTAATTAATTAATTAATTAAAATAGTAAAATTTAAAATTTTGTTGTTACAATTCTCTACTTCTCAAAAACCTCTTCAATAAATATTTGTATATTTATTTTTTTTTTTAAAATAAAAATTTCAATATCAATAAATATTAAAATATTTAAATAAAATATAAAATAAAACAATAATAAAATAACAAAAAATTTTAATTGAGATATTTAGGGCTAGTTTACTACTCGGTCAAGTATGATTTAAAACTGACTTAAGTATGAAATAATCAATAATCGTGGTTTAAGTATGAACTAAGTCAGTGAAGGTGATGACTTAAGTATGAATAAAAATAGTCAACAATAGCTTAAGGTAGTGACTTAATCTAAAATTACATACTGTGTTTAATGACCATTTCCTTAGTGCCAGAAAATCTGGTGACAGATCTGGTATTATAAATTATATGTAGAAATAAATTACGAGTTCTGTGCAAATGTCTTTTCATCTCAAAAATTTATTAATAGTATAA